ATATTTCTTGTGTAAATTTCATCATATTAAAAGACTTTCGATTTCCTCGAGTATATAGGTAAATAAAAGCTTTACACTCATGCATACAAAAGAAAACTACTAACACACCAAAATATACATAAACCTTTTCCCTTTTCTAGTTTGGATCCAGCTCTAACAAATCACCATACATCATATATTTTATTTTCATAAACCAAATCAGCTTTCGAAATAATAAATCACAAAAATCCTTATCAAACCAATAATAGCAAGATTAAGGGGAATTTAGTTTCTTTTAGTTTAGTGATTGCAAGCAGTGGCGTTGGATTGCTAATGAACTAGATTTATTCTAAACTAATTTGTTTTTACGAAGTCAATTAGCGAAATAAGAGCCTAAAAATAAAAATACCAAAAAATATCCTTATTTCCCCAAGATTTCAGACCTGTAAACAAACCACAACCCCACGATAATACCATCTTTCAGTTAATTCAGCCTTCCTTAATTCATGCTAAGTAAATTGGGTTTAGGAAACCTTACCTAGATCCGGTTTCATATCCAAACCTACAAGAAAAAAAGAATAAAGTTTTGAATCAGATTTAAGTTTTTATTACTATTGACTAACATAAATTTACGAATCGAAAGTCTTACCTTTCCTTTTAGAGCGAGGGTCGTTGCCGGCAGGGTCTCACCGCCGACCAAATCCAAAAAAATCTGAATCTCGTTTTTGAAAAGAAACCTCTACACGCAAATAAAAACCTCACCCAAATCTCATCGTCATTGACAGAATAACTCCATCATAGGCGGCTTCTGTCGTTTTTCTCAATGTTGTCAGAACCGAACCGGAGCATGACCCGATAATGCAAACGGCTCGCACTTTAGTGGTCCAACCGACATTAGCCAGTTAAAAAACCATTAGAGAACCGGTACTAATAAAAGTTATCAGTATAAATAGTGGACATTTCTTAATCAGAGCTCGTCTCTTTCCTTCGAAATTGTGAAATGGAAATAAGTATTCAGTTTGAGAGCCCGACGTTTTTGGTTTATTTCAACTTTCAATTTTTCTGCAATTTTTTTAATTAAATTTAACAGCTGAATGGCAAATACCGGACGAGCGGCTCAATCGGCTCAATGGTTAACCGCATCGGCCGCTCATCAACAGCTACATAAAACCGGAACGACTTTTAGACTGTTTTGAGTCGATTTTGTGACCGGATAGCGGTTTTACCGGTCGGGCCGAGCGGCTCGGCTCGACTTTAATAACACTGGTACTTTTTTTCTTTTTCTTCTTTTCTCGACCAAACCGAGATCCTCAAACCAAACAATAAAAAAAAGAAGTCAGATTCCCCATTGAAAACCAAAAAAAATCAGAAAATAGGAATGATAGAGGGCAGGGGCCCTTGACTACCCTTGTTTTGTCTTTCTCGATAGAAGAAAGAAGAACGAGGTCAGAGGGGGGTTTGATTTCATTTTGGGATTTTGATTGTTGAGACGAAGAGAAGAAGAAGGAGGTGGCGGCGAGCTCGTTGAGGAAGGGAGAAGGGTCTGGGTTTTTGGTGTTCGATTGGAGAGGAAGGTAAGGCGGCTAGGGTTTTGGGGTTGCTAGAAGAGAAGAGCAGAGAGAGAGGCGAGGGCTTTGGGCGACCGCCGCTCATCTCTAAGATTAGGGTTTCGGTTATTTGTTCTCTGGAAGAAAAGAGAGGTGAGACGAGAGAGAGGGAGAGACGGGGACAAGAGAGAGAGGCTAAGCGGCGGCCTTTTGGCTCAAATAGATTAGGGTTCTGTTTTTCGCCTGAGGAGAGGTATTTGTCCCTAATCCGTTAAAATGACACAATTTCCCCCTAGGGTTTCGTAAATCTACCATCCCCTGCCACCGTCCTTTTGTGAATTTACAAAACTACCCTTCCCCCCTTCTCTGAAGTAAAACAAGAAACAAAAAAAATAAATGCTGCTAAAGGGGTTTCAAACCTGCGTCCTAAGGGCAAGTCCAATGCAAAACCCCAAATTTGGGGACCTTGAACTCCAAATTTGGGGATTGAACCCCATTTTCCCTTCTTTTGCTCTAATGCAACAAACTCCATATTTGGAGTTCTTAATATTTCCAGTTTTTTCATTTATTTAAAAATATACTTATCGAAACTTTAATATAATTTATTCATGTTAATTTTTGTATAGTTCGTCATCATTTTTAAATACAAATTTTTCGATAGAATTTTGTTAAATTTCGAGACCGAATTTTTTTTAGTGGAAAATTATAGACCTAATTTGGGTTTACACACAACACTTAAAAATGATAAAGCTTAATGAGTTATTGTTGTTGCTTGGTATCGATGCTGGGATGCTTTGTAATTCAATTAAAATTGTAGTTGGTGACAATTTATTTTCTAATTTACGAACGCATTTTAATTTCAATAATATAATTTCCATTCTTAGTTCGATCTAATTTTTGTTTACACATAACTTAAAGATGATAAACATAAATTTTAAATAAAATGAATTCAATTTAAGTCATCTTAAAAAAAAGCCTAAATACAAAAATATTAAACACGAATTAAATACCATCTAAAAAGCCTAAATACAAACATTAATTCCCTTTTCCCTAATTAATTACATTCCATTCTCTTAATCAATTTCCTTAAATAACTAATAAATAATTAACAAAGAAAAAGCTCCTGCGTTGGAGCTCAAAAATCGCAGTAATTACATTAATTAATCCAATAAACAATTTCCTTTCTTCCCTTAATTAATCACATTAATTAGCAAGCAATTAATTACACCTTTCCTACCATTAATCACATTAATTGCGCGCGTGCCAACAATTCTTCCATTCCCCATAAATGCCGACCTCGGCATTCCCTCCCCCATATTTAGCGACCCAGATGCCGATGCCCTCCATAAATACCGATTTTCGCCATTTTTCGTCTCTGCGTTGGAGCTCCAAAATTGCCATTAATGGCGAGAACTCCATAAATGCAGGCTGCATTGGAGTCAGCCTAAGGGGCGAACGATCTCTGTCTGCCAACTTAGTCAGTTTGGCTGCTAGCCCATCACCCATTAATTTAACCATCCCGTTTAGTTTTATTCGTTTAAAGTCCTTACTATGAAATGTTGAATGCGGATTAAGTTAGTTTTGCTTCTCTACCGATACATCGAATTTTTTCCTAATAATTAAAATTCTTACTTTCACTTTAGCAACCCCATAATAATTTAAATGAAGTTTTATTAACAAAATTATAATACGAAAATCACGATCACTGGAACGTGATTACAATTAAATTATCAAAGTTCAAACGACCTACGTGGACTTTGATCCCGTCTAACGGGTTCGTAGGCAACCGATAAGATTCGAGTCCAACTAACCAATTAACTTTATCTTTTACGTCAGTGGGCGTACAATTAAATTACAATTAATACGATTTAATTTCTTTAAAGGTCCAGTGGGACCCTAAAATTACAAAAATACATCCAACTCGTATGAAAACTTATCGACTTAAGTAGTACCGATTTAGGGCGTTGTGGGGTGTTGCTTAACTTCCCCACACGTAACCGTACTCCTGAACCCGAATCTCTTAACCGCAGATCATATCCTGGTTCTGACCCTAAGATTAGAGCCGACCGATGAGTGTTCGATCCACTCCAAATAAGATAGATGATGACTCCCAAAAATGCCAACGCGACGACATTCGAACCCCGAGAGGGACGATTGCGACAACCTGGATAATAGTTCTTCCATCCCCTGCTATTCCCTTTGGTGCTCTTATTATCATATTGGTAATTTTTGTTCAATAAAACAAAAATCCATGGTTGTGTCGTATCAAGTTTTGTTGCAGCGCCAAAACACCATACCCAGGCCATGACTGCTTCCGCCTTCTATTGTCTTCGAGTTTGGTCGTTTTATCAAGTTTCAATTGTTGTTTTCGGTGGAATAAAAAAAATCGTACTGCTGTTTCCGTGGCTCGTTCGGCTGGGGAAGACAGGAGCCGCCCAAAATCCAACGACATCCTCCCTTTGGTGCTTCCGAGTTCCACCAGTAAGCATGATCTCTCCCGCCTGCCTTCTCGACTTGTCCTTCAATATATTCAGAATTTCGCTTTTACTTTGTTTTATGGTGTTGTTCGGAACACCTTGGTTAAAGATGTTGTTCGGAACATCTCTGTTTGATAAATGTTTTCCGGAGCATTTTTGGTATATTTCTCCATTTTGATGATGTTGTTCGGAGCATCCTGATTGACATGTTGTTGTTCGGAGCACATGGTTATGTTTCCGTTTCGATGATGTAGTTCGGAGCATCCTTGGTTTGTTTACGTGATAATCGGTTTCTGGAGCTTCTTTGGGGGAAGTGTTTGGAAGAGAAGGCAGTTTTGGCAAGGGTTATTGTTACATCCGTTTAATCATCATTGTGTTCCTGGCATGGTGTTCTTCGACAACGGCATGAAGTTTAGGATTAGAAGCAGTTATCCGTGTGATATTTATAGATTTTTTTTTCTATGTGTTAGTTTTAGTTTCGGTTTTCAAATTGTTGGTAAGTAATTACCATCAATTTGGGGAGGGTATTAGAGTATAGGTAGTACGAGTTGTATTATGTTATACTACGAGTATTGTTGGGGTCGTTTGGATTAGTGTTTTCAATGAGGGATTTGTGCACAATCCCTCACAGTGAGGGATTTTAATTAAAATCACTCGTTTGGAAACTAATTTTTCGTTAGGAATTTTAAACATTCCGGATTTCAGAAACCCACATTTGTAGAATTGTGAAATAGCTGATGGCCACCAGCTATTCTGAAATCCCTCAATATTGTGCCATTTTATTCCTTATATGTCCATGCTATTTTTCTGAAAATCCAAACTCTACCCTTCTATTAACCCACCCACTTTGTTTCTCCCTTCTCTCCTCCCAATTCTTCCTCTGCTCTCCACTTCTCCACCCACCGCCGCTGGCAAGTTGAAGGGTGCAGCCTAGATTTGAGTGATGCCAAGCATTACTACTCCAGGCATAAATTCTGCGGGACTCACTTCAAGACCCCTACCGTCATTGTTGTTGGCTTGGAGCAGAGGTTTTGCGAGCAGTGTAACAGGTTGCCATTTTCACTCTTCTCCCTCCCTTGTTATGTAGATTTTGTGGCCCACAGAGGAACGGTTGCTGACGATTTGTACGGCAGAGAGTGAGATAGCGTCACTTCCCTGTGGGGATGTGAGTTTCACATTCTAGGGCAATTTGGGTATGAAAAAAAACAGAATTTATTAATTATTTTTTTGTATTAATTACAAAATGAGAATTAAAAATACATATTAAATATATGTTTTTTTTAATTTAAATCCTAAAACTAATACAATTATATCTCTCTCTATCTCTCTCTTCATTTTTCAGTAGCCTCTTCGCTCCGATTGCCAAGCTTTCTCCGACCGGCAGACTTTTTCCCAGTGAAATCCTCCCATCAGACTCTCTCCGGCGATCTGCAAAAAAACCACTCCGTCAGTGCGCTAGTGGTACTGATTTCCGTCTAGGGGTACGGTACCAGTGGTAGTGGTACGCTACCACTACCACTGGTACCGTACCACTAGACACAAGTTAGTACCACTAGAGATTAACATAAAAAAATCAAATCTGTAATCTGGAAAATTCCAGATCTGGAAAAAAAATTAAGGGATGATGAAAGGAGAAGGCAGGGGAGAGATCGTTACCTCTGCGGCGACGGCGGCAGTGGATGATGGCGGCGACGGAGAATGATGGGAGAGAGAAGGAGAGATGCGACGGCGAGAGGAGAGATGAAGGGAGAGGTCGTTACCCCTGCGGCGACGACGACGGAGGATGGTGGGAGGCGAAGGCTACGACGGCTGCGGCGGGATGGCTGCAACGGTGGTTGGAGGAGGGAGAGATGGAGGCGGGGGTCGGTGGTGACATGGAGAGACGGATGGGAGGAGGCGGCTAGTGTTTTGGGGAGAGAGGCAATGGGTCGGGTCGGGGACGGATAGTGCATATCCATTACCCTACCCAAAGTAGTTCGGCTTTTACCCATACTCATACCCACATATAAACGGATAGAAAATTAAAACCATGTCCATACCCGTTCGGGTTTCGGGTATCCATGGGTATCCATGGGTAATGATTTCTCTTCATAACTCTAACTAATATGTTAACATTCACACGTATTCTCACATTACGCAAGAGGAAAAGTATGACAATAATTCACTAGAATGAATAAAATTAATTAAAACAACACAATTTCATGAAAATATTATATTTATATGCTAAATATAAAATATGTTAGAGAAAAATAATGACTATTTCTAGACAAATACATATGTATGTGTATAATCGGGCGGGTTCGGGTTGGATACTGAGAAACCCATGCCCACCCATTACCCGCAATATTCGGGTTTGGGTTTTACCCGTACCCACTAAATTTCCTTCGGGTTCGGGTTTTACCCTACCCGATTAAGCCGGGTTCGGGTGGATATCCACGGTTACGGATATTTTTGCCATCCCTAAGAGAGGGCGTGTGTTAGGGGGTGGGGGGAGGTTTTTTATTTATGAAAAATAGATTATTTAGAAAATGAGAAAATATCCTATGTGATAATATTTCTTCATTTCAAAAATACCATTTCTTTAATCTTAACCATTAATTTGAAAAAAGAATAAAGAGTGAGGAGAGAGACCATATCCCATCCCGGATTTAGGGCACCACCAATGAGGGCCTTCATAATATATGTTTTGAGTGTAGTAAATATGGTCACACGAAAAGCCACCTGCCGACTCCTAGCACGAAAGCTCGGAACCGAGTAATCCCCATAAGGCGAGTGAACCGTCTAAGGAGCAAGTGAATGGAGAGTGGATCGTGGCCAAGTCTAAGTATAAGAAGAAGCAACCAACAGAGGCATGTGCTCGGAGGAGGAAGAAGAAGATGTGAAAATGGAGACCCAAGATATGTTCCGAAGTCAACTCCGGTAGTGACTGCCACAACCATGTGAATCCGACTTGAACTCTATTTTTTTTTTTTTTTGTATATAATAGGGTGAAGTCTATCATATTCAGGATAAATCTAGTGTACCGTAAGGAAACATGGTTTGTAGCTCATTTTTCATATTCGATGGGCAAGTTCGATGACAGTCAAGAACAAAATCATTAACTAAGTTGAAGATTGACAACCATCTGACATCATAACAATAAATTGTTTTCATATGAATGTACGAATACAATCTCGAATACAAGCAACATAGAGGTATGGTTTTTATTATGATTTTATGGTATAACACTGGTGTTCTATGTTGAAAGGTTTTCGGTTTAAAGTTGTGTGTGGTGTTTAATGTCAATCTATGAAATGTGTGGTTGTAAGAATGGGAAGAAAGGATGAACATTGGGATGTCTAATTCTATGAAAACTATAAGTTTGTCCTGCTTTCGGTTTTTACGGTTTTCCATATGCATATGCGTTTACGAAATGGTTTTGATGGGTTTCGGTGATTTGTTTGGATACTTCGGAAAGTTATTGGCATTTGCTTTGCTCTTGCCTTGATTTTGGGTGGTTCGTCATCTGCTCAAATTTGAATGTCTTTGGCTTTTGAATATTAGGGGTAATTCAAGATTTGAGTAGTGGGGGTTCAAATGAGGCGGTGTAGTGAATGCACAAATTTGAAACAAGGCCATTTAGTCTTGTAAAACCCACACCAATTTCTTACCAAGTCATCCATTTTATCTTGCAGTATGTTATTTGTTTCCCTAATTGCAAGTCTTTCATGTTTATGATTCATAAATTGGAGGGGAGAAAGAAAGATAAATTAATTTAATATGAGGAATATTAGAATGAGTTGTGGAGAGGTTGTTTTAATTTGTTCTATTCAATTGTATGTCCGAAAATCCCCTTCAACACCTAGCCTTTTGAGAAGTAATGCTTGAAATTTTTCATTATTGCTACCCCTGTTTGTTGGATAACTGTCTATAGTATCAAGCAAATGCAGTTCGGTCGTTTGATTTACGAGTAATGATCAGTGTTAATTGAACTCATATGCTTAATTCCTTTTTGTCTATGCTTCAATACATATAGGTACCCATGATCAATACACAGAAAACCAATATCTTTCTCACTTCTAGAAGCCACTTGGAGAAAGCAAGGGCTTTTCTGCGGATGGTCCTTTGACTAGAGGTTTTGATGGAGGACAGTCGGTTGGTGTTCACAATATGGATACACTGAGGGGTCGTTTGGATGTGGAAATTTGAAAACGTGCGAATTTGTCTGAATTTTCATGTTTTACAAAATCAAGAAATTGACTTGTGAAAATTGAACAAAATTCCACGTTTTGATAGGGTTTAGTTTTGTAGGAATTGATAGTGTGAAATTTGGTAAAAATACAAAAATGTCCTCCTTTGTTTATATACATATAGCCCTCCTAAAGGTTGATATTGTATTATACTAACTACTAATTATTGCTAACTTAAGCATAGTTAGAAAAATATGATATGGAAAAGTTACGTATAATATACGTACGATTATTTTACTTCATCTCTAAGCTAATATTACATTTAATAGTACATTAAAGCCATAAATATAAAAACTTAATTATTTTAATAATAAGTACATATATAAATTACAATAAAGTTAACAATTTAATTCATTAAATACGGATATTAAAAGTGTTTAGGCGAATTCGATGAGGAGAAGTAGGAAAATCGACGGTAAATAGGATAATTAAGCGAATCCAAAATTAAGAAATTGACGACGGATTATAGGAGATATACGAAGGTGAGGGGAGATGAAGAAGAAGAGGTACCATTGATGAATGAAAAAGAAGAGGCTACTCTTTTAAGAAATAGTTAGGCGAAAACGGAGAAGGAGTAAGAAAAAAAGGAGGTCCCAGGTTCGAATCCCTTAAGTAGTACCTTAATTACAAAATGAAACCTATATCACCCTTATAAAAAAAAAGGAGAGGAAGGACATAGGGACACATTTGGAAATTGAAAGAAGAAAACGTGGTAATGTCAAATTACTAGGGGGAGATGTAGTATTCTCAATTACAATGAATGTGGTAATTGAAGCCAATTTCCACGGTCCAATTCCCATACCCTTTTTGCGCTGCCAAACGTGGGTTTTTAACCCAATTACTGCATTATGTGGTAATTGGGTCCAATTACTGCATTAAATTTCCACATCCAAACGACCCCTGAGTTTCAAGGAATAGAAGTGGGATGATTAGGGGTGAAATCTTGTCCCGGAAGACCCACTGACCTGTCCCGACCCGTCCCGTCCCTAAGGGTCGGGACGAGTCAGTTTGTCTACAGGGACAGATTAGGGACGGGTCATTTGTTGAACCTGTAAGGGTCGGGACGGGTCGGGACAACTTAGGGACGGGTCACGTTTTGACCCTGTGACCCTTAGCAACAACAAATATCTCATACTTCATTGGACCTTTTTGTCAAGTTTTTAAAGTTTAGGTACTAATTTGTAAAAATAAAAAAATTGGGTACCAAAACGTAATTTTACCATCAAAATTTATGGACTTATTTGTAAAAAAATAAAATTTAGGTACTAAATTGCAAGAAAAAATAATTTTGGGTACCAAAACGTAATTTGTAAAAAAGAAGTGTGTTGATTAGGGTCGACCCACTGACCCGACCCGTCCCGTCCCGTCCCAACCCTTGAGGGTCAGACAGGGCCAAGAAGGAGACAGGGACGGGACGGGACGGTTATACATTTTGACCCTTCAGGGACGGGTCAGACAGGGACAGGGACGGAACAGGCAAATTTTCAGCCCTAGGGATGATTTCAATGAGAAAAGTATTATGATGTGTTTTAACACCATAAGCTTCAATAGAAGTTTATGAAGTGTTAAATGAGAGTTGTATCATGCACCAGAATCGTTATTCTCTATGTCCTATTAAATGGGATTTAGTTGAGAATTTGACTCGCACGAAACTACACCACAATAAAACCCCAATTAGAGCCCAAGTTTTTAAACTCTAATCGGGTGCAGTATAGGGTAAGTATTTAGATATCGACCCGGACCGGTCCGTCTACCCATACTTCAGTTGTTGAAATCATTATCTAGCAACAAAACTTTAGTTTAGATATCGACCCGGGCTGGTCCGTCTACCCCTACTTCAGTTGTTGAAATCATTATCTAGCAACAAAACTTTGGTTTAAAGATTTGCTAATTGAAATAAAAGAAAGCAAAGGTGATTGGGTTTGCAAACTCTTTTGTGGGAAAGTCACTCGGGTGTCGCTTCCCCCTAACCGCTATCATGCTATGTGAATTGGAACGATGTCTTTGGGCACGATAATCGCGAACCGCAGAGCGATGAATATGTGGTCTGAGACTGCATCTCAATTGCTAAACCGAGGTAAGGATGAAAAACCGTGTCACTCTACACTCTCGGTTTAGACAATCAGTACAACTCTAAGGTCGGACGGTTTAATCACGATTAATCAACTTGCTTCACTCAATATTGAGGGTCTCCCTAACTTAACCTAGTTTAGGTGGCTTAGGAAGCGGAGGGAAACCAACTCGATTGAGTCTCCCTTGAAAGGGGGATTTTCCTCTCTAAACTAGGGTAAGGTGGCAAATTAGATTACTAGCACCTAAATGCACAAACCTAGGGGTGCTAAGTACAATTATGCACAATCCTTAGGTTGCTAAGCAACTAAATGCACAAACATAAGGATACTAAGCACAAAACATGCACAACCGCTAAGTTGCTAAGAACAAGCATGCACGATCATGGTAAATAATGCCTCAATCATTGAATTGAACAATACCCAATGACAATCATCCAAAACACATACAAGAAAACTACATGGCAGAGTTAGGGTTTCACTACACCCAAGTGAAAGGAGGTCTACTCCATGCTAGAAGTGGGAAAAACAAAAGGGAAAAAGGTGGAAACCATCTTTGAGGATGCTCCCAGCCTTCTTGACCCTTGAGTTGAGCTTTCCTTGGAGGAAATCTTCCCAAAATCTGCCTTGTAGCCAAACCCTAACCTTCTTCTTCTCTTTGGTTCTATTTCTCTCACTAGAATGCTGAAGAAGGTGTTTCACACAAAAGTGGGCTCTCCCCTCTCTCCTCCTTTAGGCTCATCTTTTAAACCCGAGATGAGGTGAGTTCACGGCCTGAGTTCACAGCCGTCTACCATGAAACGCGTCTGTGAACTCCAGGCGTGCGCCAAAACGCGCCGCATCGCTCACGTCTATTCACGGTATTAGTGATCGTGAACTCACCTTGCGTTAGTAACCTTCACATTGTCTATGGACGCCACGCGATTCATGGTCAACTCCTCTTCTTCACGGTCTTACATGATCGTGAACTCCCTCAGTTAGCCGTGAACTGTCTCTTTTTCACCTCTTCTCCCGGTTTTCGATCCTTTTCACCAATCTTTCGACTCCGTGGCTGGTTTCACCTGTTAAATCCTGAAACACACTCAAACACGAAGAACCTAGCGTAAAATCAACCTTTGAGGGGCGAATTTGGCACAAACATCTAAGTAAAACGAGTGCAAAACATGTGCAATTAGATCCGAATCAGAATTCGTTGATGTAACTAAGGTGGTTTTCACTAAGTACTGTAATCTTGTAGAAGTTTTCTTATGCAATGAATAACAGTTATAGAAGTGCAAAATATGTGTTTTGTTTGTTTCAGATACAAGTTTAAGCATGTTGTATATCTTATGCAATGAATACAAGTTGTGAATTTGTATCAAGTATATGTGTTCTTCTTTTGAAATATAACTTGCAGTGATAAAATAGTTGGATATTAATTGACAAATGAATGAAAATGAGTTTACATGATATCAAAGATGAGAATGATTCAAATGAGTTGAGCTGACAGTGAGTAAGAGTTTACCTAATATTTACCATAGGTCGAATACACACTAAATTTGATTTTACATGGTACTGAATAAGAGTTGAAATCACTTATCCAATTTCCAACTCATATTTAATATAAGGTAAACTCATATTCGATACTAGGTACACTCAGTTTCGGTGTAAGCTATTACCAAGTTTATTCGATTACATACAAAAGGGACAAAACATTCTTATTAGACAACCAAAAACCTGAAAAGAAAGCTGCAAGAATTGTTGTGAAGTTTTAATTTGGTGGATACGGACTAAATTTCACTTCTTAATTCCAACATCTAGCTTGTATTCACCCGTGTATGTTTTAGGTTTTAGGGATGTTGTCGAAAATTTTATGGTTAATATATTTGTATAGACTGAACTTTGACCAAAACAAATATTCTGGCCAACCTTTTTGATTTATAACATTCTAGCCCAAACTATACATCAAAATAACTAAATTGGCCAAACTCGATGTTTGACCGTTAACTTGGACGGTCTTTTTTTAATTTTCACCTATTTTTTTTTCATTTTGAAAAAAAAAAAGAAAAATGCTTCTAATTTTTGGTTATGCCTCGGTTCCTCCGCCCGGCCGCCGATGGAGACGACGGAGGCTCCTAAAATCGCGAAGCGTCGGATGAACTCGCTGCAATAGACAATGAGGAGCTGAAATCAATTCAAACCAGCAACGAGAAATGATCAGGAAATAGAATAGATGAGAAATCTGACCATTGCTCTACGCTCAGGGACGAATCGAGGAAAGCCATTTTCTAAATCCAATTCACCTATGCTCCCGCGGAAACAAAACTCATTTTTTCTTCTCCCTCCTCTATGACGATTTCTTCCTCTTTCTGGTTATTGTAACAGAAGAAGTCTTCTTCTGTTATATTGTCCGATTATTCTCCGGCGACGTTGCGTTAATTGTTAAATGATCCCCACTGCCAAAATTGCGACCAGAAAACCACAGTCCTACAACAAAACCAACAGAAGGGAAAACCATTGCGGAATCCAAGCACGATAGCGGAAAACTTACGTTGTGCGCGGAGGATGAAAGGGCGCCGGATCTGGAGGCGAAAATATGATGAATGGCCGAGGAGGTTGATCAAAATCTTCAATTTATGGTGGTGGCGGTGGTTGGGGCGTAGTGGTGGTGGAAATTCGGCGTTCGAGGTGGCGGAAGAACGAGTTGGACGGAGCGATTTGGACGGAACGAGTTGGACGGAGTGATTCTGGGAGCCTCCGTCGTCTCCATCGGCGGCCGGGCGGAGTAACATAGGCACAACCGAAAATTAAAAGCATTTTTCTATTTGTTTTTGTTAAAAATAAAAAAAAGGAAAATGATAATAGGTGGAAATTAAAAAAAAATTAATTGAAATTTGTTGAGTTGGCAGTGACATGGCGCGTTGACCGTTAGTCAACGCGTTTGACCGTCCAAGTTAACGGTCAAACGTCGGGTTTGGCCAATTTAGTTATTTTGATGTAGAGTTTCGGCCAGGATGTTATAGATCGAAAAAATTGGCCAGGATGTTTATTTTGGTCAAAGTTCATACCATACAAATATATTAAAAAAATTTACTTCAACTATCAATGGGTAATGGTTCATTCTTTCCAAAATTTCACTTCAGCTAAGTATGCTTACGGTGCCTTCTACGGTATCCCGAGTGAAATCTGGGGTACTGCATACCTTGAGTATGAAAACGCTATCTAGACCTCGAATTAGTAGTATTTTTGGGCATGATACTATACCCTTAATGAGTGAACCCTAGGTCCTAATTATCTAAATCATAAACTATATACCCTAAGATGGTGCATTGATTTTTTTGCCTATATTTGGACGAATCATAATCGTCGATTATTGTTTCTAATTAAATTGATCTTGTGGTGTAAGATTTAGAGAATTAAGACCTAGATTTTGGAGCACTTCTACTATGTTATATAACATTGGTGCTTTAATGTACAACTCAAAGTTGTACCATAACATAAAATGTATAAGTTTAGGTTATACCATAAAGCAATTTGTACCATTATGTTATGATACAACTTTCAACTTGAAGTTGTACCATCAAATAAAGGTACAAGTTCAAGTTATACCATAAAAGAATTTGCCCAAAAAGTATAGGTACAATTTAAAGTTGTACCATAACGTAAATGTATAATTTTAAGTTGTACCATAAAGGCAAAAACCTATAGTACCAATACTATATAGCATTGTAAAATTTCTCTAGATTTTGATCTTTAAGGGTTAGAGTATAGTATCATCTCTGAAAGATCAGTCAATTCAAATTCTGGATAGCGTTTTCTTACTCAAGGTATGCAGTACCCCAGATTTCATCCTGGTACCGTAGAACTTCCCATATGCTTACATGTATTCAGTATATGTGTCCATTCTTCATGATTGTTTGTACACTATTTTTTTGTTCAATCAGTTGCTTGTATTGATCAAAGGAAGAAACTGATAGAACAAAGATAGACTCAAAAGACCCTATGTAGAAACTACTCACCTCTACAATCATTAATCCTTTCCACTCTCAGCTACTTACATTCTAATGACAAAGAAAGCCATCTATCTATAAGTAGCCCATATTTCCAATTCTGTTTTCAGTAGTATGTTACTTGAAGCTATGAATTGTAAATCCCTATGCAACAACTTTGCAACCTTTTCTGGATATCTCCTCACTGCACCATGAATCAGACCACATCTCTCTTTCCAAACAAATGTCAAGATCATACACCACAAAACTCTATGTCAGCAACCAACTTCAGATATTTTTAGCAACAACAACACTTAAAGCAGTCAACATAGCAACCCATGCCCTACACTACTTTTCTTGATTAAGAAAGTCATGAAGTGGTTGAAATTGAGTTGCATGTGTGGTTGAAATTCTTGTCAAATTTAGGAAGCAAGATTGAGAAAAAAGATCTACGTACAAATACTGAATATTATTTACACATAAGTTCAGTATGAGTTAACTTGGTGTAGTGGTGTTGAATATAACTTAACTGACAATGAATATAAGTTGGTCTAATACTCAATATGAGTTTATATATGGATGGATATGAGTTTACTTGGCATTCAATATAGAACAAATAAACACTATATATGAGTTTACCTATTATCTTAAATAAATTGGTTCTTATATTCGATCCAAGTTCATCATCTATATGTCAAATTATATTAGTATCAGGTAAACTCATATTCAGTGTCAATGAAATAGTTCGAATATATATGTCCATTCTGGAAAATGTAGTATCCAAAGTGACGAGAACTCTTTGTCTTTAATGTAGTATCAAAAGTAGAACTCATATTCATCCAAATATCAATTTATATTTAATAGTAGGTAACTCATATTCGATGTAAGTTCAGTTATATTCAATATCATGTAAAGTAATACTATGTGTCTATTGAACTCATACTCAATACCAATAACCTAATACTATCGTTTTGTTTTCAGTGTTAACACAACTTAAACAAACCAATCATCGTCTTTGGTACCAGTTGAACTAATATTCATCCAAATGTCAATTCATATTTAATAGCAAGTAAACTCATATTTGGTGTAAGTTTAAGTCATATTCAATATTTACGCAACTTACATTCAATACCAAATACTATCATATTCAGTGTCGATTCAACTCATATTCTAAAGAGATCATGGGTATTTGGGTTCTTTAAACAAAGCAAGCTCAAGGTCATATTCGATATTTACTCAACCTATATTCAATAACAAATACTATCATATTCAGTGTCGATTCAACTCATATTCTAAAGAGATAATGGGTATTTGGGTTCTTTAAATAAAGTAAGCCCAAAGCCAACATGAATCTCCATAAAAGCATTACATTGAGATGCTTGTCAATTACCATTTTGAATGGATTATCTCGTGGAACTTTAATATTTGTAAATCAAAGCGCACTCACGTCAATCCTAACTAGGCCAAGTATAACCAAGCTAAGGATGCAGTAAAGTGGTTCGGTCGTGTTCCAAAGGGTCACGGTATCCTAGGCTACTTAGGCTCGGTCGTTATCTAGTCAACCTTTTACTTAGCAGGTGGGCAGTTGGCGATTCCTAAACTAAAGATCTATAGAAAGGAAGAGGTACTCGGGGTAACTCCATCGCCCTAGATTAGGTTAGACATGTAAATGACTAACAATGTTGGGTTTATAGGATATGGTGTGCGAGCTCTCTGATCTCGTTAGCCTTTGTCATAATCCCACACCTCCGAGGACATCTCCCCAAGACCCATTGGCACCTAAATCAAGGCTCTCATATCTGGGGCATTAGACATTTAGCTCTCTTTTCAACAAGTATTACCTATCATGCACACTAAAGAGATGGATCGATATATGCTTGCATGCCCCTAAAGCATTATTCTAGGAAGATGTCCCTATAGCAGGGGTTCAGTCGCCTTGTCCACTATAGAATCCTAAGATCATTTATCTACCGTTAATCTGCCAGTTAGCACTACCCAGTCTAACCCTAAACTCCGATCCATCGTTTGGCTCAGTTGGAGGCTAATAGGGAAGAGTAGGGCAACTTACCCAAACATAATTAAGCATACATTAAGCATATAATCACTAAGAAACATATCCATTCATAAACCCTAACATTAATCATTCATTTACATTATAAACCAAATATAGGGTTTGGGGGTTTAAACCGCTTGTACCTTAGGAGATTACCCCATGAAGGGTGGAAGAAAAGACATATAAAGAGGGGAAGAATTAATGAAGAAAGGATCTTTAATTGATGGAAGTCCTCCTCTAAAGCTCTCTTTTACTTCTACTCCTCTACTTCTCCAAGAATCTAATTCTCTCTCTAATCTCTCTCTAGAATAAAAAATCTACAAAAAGTCATCTTCTCAAGGGAGAGAAGTCCATATTTATAGAATTTTGCAGACACAGGCAAGGGAAAAAGTTTGCGGTCGTGAACTTATGAGGCGAGGCTGCGATCTTAGGTCAGTCCCTTTACGCATTGAAGGTTTGGAGGATCGCTGCCTGACATCTCGATCACGATCCTTAATGTCACGGCTGTAATCTTTATCGCGAGCCGGAAGAAGGTGGTCGTGAGTCGACTACCGAAACCTTTTGTTTCTCCCTCGTTGCCTACCTTTCCAAGTTCGTGCCTAACGCTCCAAAGATCTCGGTCACGAGCTTGGAGTTGGAGGCCGCAAGCTCAGCTGTCTCTTCGCGTGCTCTATTCTCGGTTGTAATCTTCCTTATCCAGATCGTGATCTTTAGTCTTTTCCTCATTTTTGCTACACTTGTGCCCTTTTGATACCTAATTCGTAGAATCGTACATATAATCTAATACACCCTAATACAATGATATATTGTTCGAGGAACGAAATATGAGTAAATTTGACGATGTATCAATCAATAGGCACATGAAATGACTCAAAAGGAACATAGATATGAGTAATAAATAACACCAATTTAGGTATTATCAGGACTCTGGCATATATCCGCGTTCAAAACGTCAATAAAGAATATACATGATTGAAAATCAATCCCTTTCCCCAGTCCTTCAAATTTCCGGGTGTATCTCAGGCCTTCCATTATCTCAGCAATTATCTACCTGCATAGAATATACTCCCACTTTCTAAGATCTATCCTCATAACTATTCATGCACTCACATCTCGATACGAGAATTGTCATGTTCGCTACGCTGTCTGTTGGAAGCAGCGCAATACTATTGAAAATCTTTTCTTTGGTGTCACTTATCAATCAGAGTATGGTCATTAGTGCAATTGGCTTGCAATGTAGCCTCTCTAGAAGCTAGAGCATTTTTGTGGATTTGATAATAGTGCATTTTGTAGTGTTATCTATATCTGAAGTAGAAGCACTAAATGTTGCCTTTGATGGGTGTAAGTATGAGAACCGCTTCTTTTTTTAGGGCGGTGTAGTTGTGCTTAATAATTATTTTATTTAATCATTAAAAAAAAGTTGGAAATGATTATTCTTAGTGAAATAGATTTTAGATTTAAATAATTTGTGAGTTGTGAAGTGAATAGTGATTTTGGTTGAAAATCAAGGAAAACTAACAATATGTTTGTTGTGATCTCAACTCGTTATTAATGAAAAGATTTGAGCAAAAGAAAAGAAGACACTAACACAACAAATATGGGATCTCTAAATACACACGTTCTTAAAAAATTTCAAAATACATACGTTACAAAAAAATTTCCCAATGTACACATGTTTGAAGAAGACTGTTGTTGTCAAACGCGGTGAAGATCTTTCAACGCTATTGTTAACTGCAGTGGAGCGATCACAGTTGTTCTTAAACGCAATGATTTTTTTTTTGAACCATCACCGTTGTTGATGACCACGGTGAATGCATCACCTCTGTTAAGAAAAGCGGTCAATTATTCACTGCATCTCTCAACGACAGTGAATGTTTGCCACGTTTTCCAACCCTGGTAGGTGACAACAACCTAACGTTCACCGCGTTTGTCTAAAGCGGTTTACACTTCACCGCTTTAGGCAAATGTGGTGAATGCAAGCTGTATGTCAAGTAAATAATTAACACCATCCCCGGTAGCTGCTAAACCAAACTCATACCCCATTTCTGCCAAACCCCTTCCCCGTATCTTATAAAAACTCTAATGTAAGGTATGTTTTAATTTGATATTGCTTAGATAGTTGATGTTTAAGTAGTTATATGTTTGTTTTTAACGAATTACTGTTACTGGCAAGGATGTTATAGTAGAGATCTTTTGATTAATTATGGTTGAAGGATGTTAGTTAGTTAGTTGTAGTTGTTTATGGTTATGGATTTAGGTAACCAGTTCGGGGGGAGCGGTTACGGTGCTAATTGTACAATAGTTAGCACCGTCCTAACCAAGGGAAAAACTACTACTAGTTTGAATTAGTAGTGATTTAGCTTAGATGTTGTATTGATTTTATAATAATCCGTCTACTAGTTTGAATTAGTAGTGATTTAGCTTAGATGTTGTATTGATTTTATAATAATCCGTAGTGATTTCGTTATTTTTAGTAGCGTTTTTTGCTAGTTATCACGGTGCTAACCCTTATAAGGGTTAGCACCTAATCCCATCCCAGTTCGGGGAGAATGAGTGGGACCGAGAGAGTCTAGTTATCAGGAAACTAATATTAAGAGCGTGAAGAAAGCGTTAATTTTATATTAATTTTAATTATTTTCATATTTTAAATAAATTAATTATTAAAATAAAGTTGAACTCAGACGAGGAAAAAAATTGATATTCTGGTTAATTATTATAGATAAAATATCATGGACTTAGGATTGTTGGGCCTGGCTTAGCTATTAGTATTAAATGAGTGAACGGTGGACTTCTTTTGGGCCAAAAACAATTATGCCTAACAGTATTATCAAGACTAGGATAAATTGTTAATCTGGATAAGGTATACATGCATGATGCATCCCTATCCTTTCCCGACCTCTGCTTCTCTTTGCTTCTCCACCGTCCGGCGTCCACCCATATAAGTCTTCTCAGTCGCCGTTACCTGCTCTCTCTTTTCTTTATATTTTTCTTTTATTTGTTCTTTTGGGATAATGGGCTTCTTTTCTACCACTATATTCTTATGGATTAAATCTGTATTTATTTTCCTAGCGTTAATCCAATTTACAGTAGCTTCATCTTGCACTCTCTTCCGCAAGCGAAGCTACCATATAACTTGTGGCATCGATTGCGGCGAAGCAAGGAGTCCCAGGGAAGAAAAGGTTGATGGAAAGGCTGAGGGTGTGGTCTCTTCCGCGCTATAATCCCTACAACATAAATAGTATTTCCTTAAAATAAATTCGCGCTCCAAGAATTTCCAGTTCGCGAATTTTCCGCGACTCGTCGAAAAATCGCGGTTTCACGCTTCAAAGCGGGAACGTCATATGAACGAATTAGGTGACCTAATTATGGATTATGGTATGAACGAATTGATAATGGAGTATTAATTATACTACATGTTTTGATTAAATTGCAGACATGGGTAAATTCAAGAAGTTCCAGCTTCTTATCGGTGGAATGGTTGTGTGACAAACTCTGATATTGGGATTGATTATGAAGATGGTGAATCCAGTATGTTGAAAATTGAGTCCAGATTCATGTGGTAAGAACTCCGTGACATTTGTGCAGACAAGATTTGTATGGACGGACAAATGAGAGTTGATAAAATTACTTACCAGTATCCATACATGATTGCTGGCGGGGTTATTTATGAAGAAGTTGTCATAAATGATGCTGAAGTGGTGTCCATGATGTTACAGTTCCTAGCTCACAACATGATGCAATTTGCAGAGGTGTATGTTGAGAACGAGGAGGTCGGTGAAACTCATTCTCACCAATATTCCATGGAGCTCCCTGAAGCCTTGGGGTGGAGATGCTGGAATTGGTTGCTCCAATTTATATTGCCTCAGGACTCAATCCGGCAGGTGCCACTCCAACATGTCCCAACAAATCAGGGGCACCTTACACAACCATGTCTTGCGATCCTCAGGGTGTCTAAGACGATGCAGCTCTAGTACTTTTTGAGGATATGGGTCCCATATCACCTATAATCATGTGCAATGAAACGTCCGAATACTTTTAACCAAACCGAAATAACCATGGTTCCGGAGCTGATTTAAAAGAACCTAAAAATTAAAATACAACTTAATCATTTCCAAGAAAAACATCAAATGCATTGCCCTAAACACATGGGCAACATCGAGTCACAGTCAGTAAAACTCAACCTTTGAACCTCCAGTTATACTCGTAATCATAAACATAAATAAATAAACAAACTCTAACTCTAACTCCTTGTTGAGCTCCCTGAGATCTTGTCCGCTCTGGTGCGGCTTCTCGCCTCGCATTGTGATAACGATGTAATTGCACATGTTTGAGCCCCTAGTTCTTATCCGTTTGAGGGGTATAGTCGTGTGTTTTGGCCTATTTTACGCCGGGTTGTGCTATTTTGTCATATTTCAGGTCCCAGGAGTCAAAGGGAAGGCTAACCACGAGTTTCGGGGCATTCGGAGGTCATTTCGTCAAGCTGGGGCCAAAACACGGGCACACCTAAGGCATTACACGGCCGTGTTCCTGTGGCCGTGCTTTTTATGCCGAGAGCAAATTCGATTTGGCAAATTCAGCTGCAAACACGGGCACCATAGCACGGCCGTGTTCCACCAAAGCACGGCCGTGTCCACCGCGAAGCACGGCCGTGTTTCCCCCCAACTGCTGGCCGTGTAATTAACCTTAGCCGAGACACGGGCGGACTCAGGCAAAGCACGGCCGTGTCCTCGACCGTGCTTTGGCCACTGATGCTTTTAAGCAGATTTTCAGCCACAAGTCAAGGGGATTCGAGTTTTAGAGAGAGAGATCAGTTCCTAGAGAGAGAAAGAGACGAACAAGAGTCTCCAAGTGCCCTAGATTGATCTTCAACACCATTGGAGGCCAGCTTGAGCTTGGAGAAGTGCCGATCAACATCCAGAAGCAGGAATCCATCCTTCACAGTATGAATTCCGCGTCTGATTCTGCTTTTGCTTTCTTCTCCATGGAGTAGTTCTCCCATTCATCTGGGTATGGAGAACCCTAGATTTGTATGTTAGGTTTGATTGTATGAACCCAAGTACTGATTCTATGATTGATTATATTCGATTGAGGTTTTAATGATTGAATGAGTTGAATCCTGATCAAATTCCTGTTGTTTCTGCTTTAACCTAGAATGAGAATATCTGCCTAGGTTGATAGAGTATCCTTGATTGAAGGTAGGGAGTTGGTGACTTTAGTCGAGGAACCAGCTCACTATTTTGTACCGGATTTACTCCGGTAGTGGAGGTTTTGTTCTTAGGGCCTCAATATGTTTACTCCGGTGGAGGTTAGTCGCCCGCTAGAGATTCAGATTGAGAGGGTCTGAAGACCTTTAGTCGAGACTTCAGGATGTTTAAGAACCTTCCGCAGTATAACTATCATAGAAACTGAACTTGGTAATTACAATCTGGCTTAACTGCAGTCTAGGGGGAACCATATCCGGGTGACCTCTTTAACCTGAATACAACTGTTTACTTGCTTTGTTAGTTTGATAGTTTAGACTTGCATTCCAGTTTCATTGCTAGATAACAAGAATTCACTTAGTAGTCATCAAATCTAGGACCCGGGTTGACATATAAACCTAACCCGCTATACTACGCTTTAGGAAGTGGTTTCACTTGGCCAATTCCTAGGGTGACAGTAGAGTCGAGTCAAGTTTTTGGCGCCGTTGCCGGGGACGGCTAGGTTGTTGAAGAAAAGTGATTTCTGTTAATTTAGCCTTTTTCTTTTTTGCTTTGTTTGCTTTGTCCCACTTGTGCCTTCACGGGTTTGCTTGCTTGAGAGTGTGCAGGTAGTGCATGACCCGTAGCCAGTCGGGAGGTTTACTTCCGTTGAATCCAGAGATTGACCGCACCTGTCGCCAGCTCAGGAGACAACAGCGAGCTAGACTGGCTACGGAAGAGCGCATAGACGGCCACGTGAGCAGTGATTCTGAAGAAGAGCACGGGATGGACGGAGAGTACAATCAACACCAGGGGAATCCTCAGCAGGCTCCCCCAGTGAATCAGGTCCTGGGGAACAACCCCATACCCCAGGATCATATGGAGTTCACCATCCACCGCAGCCGGGTCCCACCTTGGAGTACTACTACACTCCTCGGATTGCTGACATCCGCCCGGTCATCCTCTACCCGCCTATTCCAGCAAACAACTTCGAGATCAAGCCATGCTGGATTCAGCTCATTACATCTTCTATCCAGTTCCATGGCTTGAAGGATGAGGAGGCCAGGGTGCATCTTTCCCATTTTCTGCAGCTGACGAACGGGTTCAAGCTGAACGGTGTCCCGGATGATGCAATCCGCCTTCATCTCTTTCCCCATTCTCTGGCGGGGAATGCTAAGAGGTGGTTGGAGACCCAGCCCCCATTGTCCATCACCTCTTGGGACGATCTGGCTGACAAGTTCGTGCACAGGTACTATCCGGCATCGAAGACTATAGAGATTCAGCGGGAGATCACTCACTTCCGCCAAGAGCCAGATGAGTCACTGCGTGATGCTTGGGAGCGGTACATGGGATATTTCTGGCAGTGCCCCCATCATGGCTTCAGTGATGCATTCACAGTGGGGAACTTTTATAGTGCCCTCTCTCCAGATAGCCAGAGGGTGATTGAGTCTCTATGCCCAGGAGGGGATGTTCTCACTAAGACTCCACCCGAGCTGAACCAGATGATTAATACATTGGCTGCCAGAGATCATTCCTGGGGGCAGAGTAGCAGAGGCAGACATTCCAGGGACCGTGGTGTGCACGCCATGGAGTCCAGATCCGGACTCGAGCAGCAGGTAGCTGAGCTAGTGCAGACATTGAAGCAGCCCAATAGTCTTATTCCGGGTAGAGGTATGGCTACACCTCCAGTTGCTCAGTGTCAGTGGTGTGAGAGCTCGAGCCACTTAGTAGAAGACTGCCATGCTATGAGGGAGTCTACTACCCCCCAGGAGCAGTTGGACTTCATCGCCAATGCTCGGCGCCTCGACCCGTACAGCACCACATATAATGAGGGGTGGCGCCAGCATCCCAACTTCTCTTGGGGCAGCAACACCACTAAGCCACCTGGTTTCCCAGCACCAGCAGGTGGCTTTCAGCAGAGGCAGCCCTACCAGGCTCGACAGGGGCCAGTTCCACAGCAGTAGCCCTACCAGCCTAGGCAAGGGCAACCCTTCCAGCAGCCCCAGTGCCAGTTTGCCGAGCCAGCAGCAGCTCCAGCTCCAGATACTCAGATGACGAAGCTGGAAAATATTCTGGCTTCATTCATGACGAGCACTCAGGCGACTATCACGAGGTTGGACTAGAGTGTAGCCTCACTGGAGGCAGGTCAGAGGAACCAGGGTGCCATTTTGCAGGATCTGCAGACCCAGGTGGGCATCTTGGCCCGCCAGAACACCACCAGGGCACCGGGGACTTTGCCTGCCACCACTGTCCCGAATCCTCGGGATCCTCACCAGCTCCAGCAGCTTGATGCCATCACTACCAGGAGTGGCAAGACCTCATCAGCTGCTCCTGCCCAGCCCAGTCGAGATGATCCACTACCTGCTTCAACACTTCCAGCTGATACTGCAGACGTGGGGGAAGACACAACAATGCCTGATCCCAAGCCACAGCCAGTGGTTAAGGAGCACGTACCCCAGCTTCCTTTCCCCACTCGCCTGCATAAAGACAGGCTGGAGACTGGGTTTGCCAAGTTCATGGCAATGTTGAAGCAGGTCAACATCAGCATGCCGTTCGTGGAGGCACTGTCAAAGATGCCCAAGTATGCCAAATTCATGAAGGACCTCCTCACCAACAAGAAGAAACTTGGGGATCTTTCGACAGTGATGCTGAGCGAGGAGTGTTCTGCCATCCTGCAGAACAAGCTGCCCGAGAAGCGAAAAGACCCAGGGAGTTTCACTATCCCTCTTGTTATTGGAAGCATGCATGTAGGAAAGTCCTTGGCGGACCTAGGCACTAGCATAAATGTCATGCCTTATAATCTGTTTAAGAAGCTAGGCCTAGGTGAACCTAGAACTACTAGGATGAGCATTCAGTTAGCTGATCGTTCTATCGTGCATCCTAGGGGTATCATTGAGGACTTGCTTGTTAATGTGGGTGCATTCACATATCCTGTTGACTTTGTTATTTTGGATATAAATGAAGATGTGGATGTACCTTTGATTTTAGGTAGACCGTTTCTCGCCACCGCCAAGGCGCTTATTGATGTGCATAGTGGTAAATTGATTCTGCGTGCTGGTGATGAACATGCTACTTTTTCTGTGTCTGAGAATGGGAAACACCCTCATTTGCATGATGACATAGACTACTGTGATATGCTTGCTGATTATGAGACCGCACTCGCTATCACGAGTGCGGGTACTGACGATGTTCTTGAGCGTTGTATTTTGCTAGGTGAGCAGGCATCACAGGAGCTGCAGCTGGCAGAGCAGTTGGCCGAGTTGGAGAGTGGCCCTTTCTTGGAGGGCGACAGGCTGTTTAAACCGATCTCATCCTCCACCCGCATCGCTACTTCCTTGGAGGAACCACCAGAGCTGGAGCTTAAGCCCCTCCCTCCTCATTTGGAGTATGCATTTCTCCGGGAGGGGAATAAGCTGCCAGTCATCATCAGCTCGACCCTCACCCCCGAGCAGAAGACCAGACTGGTGACCTTGCTGAAGCGGTACGAGCGAGCCCTCGCATGGAAGATCACAGACATCCGGGGGATCAGCCCTTCTTTCTGCTCCCACCGGATACTGATGGAGGATGAGATGCGGCCAGTGAGACAGCCACATAGGAGACTGACACCGAACCTGGAGGCTGTGGTTCGGGCAGAGATCGTGAAGCTGCTGGACGCGGGGATCATCTTCGCCATTTCCGACAGCGAGTGGGTCAGTCCCACCCAGGTGGTACCCAAAAAGGGTGGGATGACTGTGGTGCCTAACGAGAAGAATGAGCTTATCCCAATGCACACGGTGACTGGGTACCGTGTCTGCATTGATTACCGGCGTCTCAACGACGCCACTCGGAAGGACCACTTCCCGCTACCATTCATTGATCAGATGCTAGAGAGACTGGCGGGGCACGAGTTCTACTGTTTCCTGGATGGGATGTCCGGGTACTTCCAGATCCCGATTGCACCGGAGGACCAGGCGAAGACCACTTTCACCTGCCCCTTCGGCACCTTTGCATACCGGAGGATCCCATTCGGGCTATGCAATGCCCCGGCGACTTTTCAGCGATGCATGCTCGCTATCTTTGACCGTCTGGTCGGCGAGATTATGGAGGTGTTTATGGACGATTTCTCGGTTTATGGAGACTCATTCTCTCATTGTCTCCATAACCTGGAGCTTGTCCTTAGACGGTGTGAAGAAACGAACCTGGCACTGAGTTAGGAGAAGTGTCACTTCATGGTTCGAGAAGGCATAGTTCTTGGTCATAAGATCTCCAAGATGGGGATTGAGGTGGACAGAGCGAAGATCGAGACTATCAGCAAACTGCCTCCTCCTACATCTGTTAAGGGAATCCGGAGTTTTCTTGGTCATGCAGGTTTCTACAGGCGGTTCATCAAGGATTTCTCTAAGATTGCTCTGCCCCTGACGAAGCTTCTAGAGAAGGATGCCCCCTTCCAGTTCACTGATGCATGCACAGCGGCTTTCATGACCTTGAAGGAGAAGCTCACCCAAGCTCCTATCATGGTTTTTCGTGACTGGTCCTTACCATTTGAGATTATGTGCGATGCCAGTGACTTTGCTGTTGGAGCTGTGTTGGGGCAGAGGCATGATCAGCATTTCCGACCCATCTACTACGCCTCGAAGACCTTGAATGATGCCCAGGAGAACTACACCACCACGGAGAAAGAGCTGCTCGCAGTGGTGTTTGCCTTCGATAAATTTCGCCCCTATCTGGTCTTGTCCCATGTGGTTGTGTATACTGATCACTCCGCGATTCGATACTTGATGAGCAAGGCTGATGCCAAGCCTAGGCTCATACGGTGGATCTTACTGCTGCAGGAGTTTGATATTGAGATTCGGGACAAGAAGGGAGCAGAGAATGTTGCTGCCGATCACCTCTCCCGGTTGGACGCACCCCCTGCGGACAACCTCGAGGAGGAGATCAATGACTCCTTTCCAGATGAGAGACTGATGATGATGTGCCTGGTGGAGAGTGTCACCCCCTGGTATTCTGATTTTGCAAATTATCTTGTGGGCCAGCAGCTGCCCAAGGGGATGACAACTCACGCCAAGAGGAAGTTTTTCTCCGACCTGAAGTACTACTTCTGGGATGACCCTCATCTCTTCAGGATCGGAGCCGACGGGATCATCCGTCGATGTGTTATGGAGAGTGAGATGGAGGGCATTCTATATCACTGTCATGAAGGACCTGCTGGCGGTCACCACGGAGGAAACCGCACGGCGAGGAAGGTGCTCCAGTCGGGCTTCTACTGGCCCACGCTCTTCAAGGACGCCGACGCCGACGCCTTCGCACGCAGGTGCGACCGATGCCAGAGGTCAGGTAAC